ATATATTGTCTTCATATATATGTCTTCATATATATATATTGTCTTCATATCTTCATATCTTCTATACATGGATGTATGATTTCCGAAGAATTATACCGATAGTTGGAATAAAATATGCTGTTTTTCATTTCTATATTTCATCGATATTTCTATTTATATGTTTATCTATCATTTACAGCATTGTGGGCTCGCAGGCACAATCCGCGATCGCAGAGTCCTGGGCAAGCCACCTATACTCCACAGTTTTATCTTTTTATCAGCGTGGTTATCTTCACTACTCAATCTCCCATGCTTGCACATTCATGTACTCTATCTGTGTTGCTTGTGAGTGACATGAGTCTTATACACCGCTACACATGAAAAAAATTAAGTGGAATCGCATGCTACCAGCTTGTAGTGTCGATTTACGTTAACCACGCGGAGGCCAAAAGACATCCTATGACATACATTCACACAGACATAGTACTTTGCCGCGTTTTCTCATATAGCCCATACACACTAACACACCCAGAATACTGAACCCCATCCGGAAACTTCTGGACCGGCGGAGTCCTTCATCGCCCAATCTCAAGGGTGACTACGACGCCGACACAGGCGAACTCAACGGCCACACGAGTCGCAAACCGCCACGCTCAAGGTCAGGCACGTTCCTAGGCAGATACAAGGCCAAAGACAGCCGCAGCCCAGACAAGCATGCTGCGTTCAGAAACAGGACGTGTTTTAAGTCCGGTATGGTGGTGCGCACGGGGACTTCACAGCGTAGGGGCAAGTACTCGTCAATGCACGACCACTACACAGTAGTCCACAGCCTGGCGCTACCAGACGTCAGTCTCACGCCGCAGCCCAGTACAACGCTGATACATAGGAACACGAGCAATGATTCGTCCATGTTTGCGTCGCTGTATGAACCGAATTGTGTGTGGACGGCGGTGTATGATGGCTTTGGTATGTAAATGGGGACATGTTGCTTATATGTATATATGTATGCATGTATGTTGTGGGTACATATTCTCGAGTTGTGTGGAATA